GGAAAAACTCTTTTCTTAGTGCATTCGGACAGACTCAAATCCAACTGTCCATATCAGCGGATACGTGGGAATATCGTGGAGGTTCACTGTTAGAATATTATTTTGAAAAACAACGGCGTATCCAACTTGCATATCTGGATATTGGGGAACAAAGCTTTATCACTATGGTAATGCGTGGACTACCTGCGGATACGCAAGCTATTCTTCTACAACACAATTTGAATGATAAAGAAGACTTACGTGTTGGATTGAGCAAATTGGCTACCAAAAAATCGGTACCGAGGAAAATCGAAAAAAGGAATAATATGCATGGTAACTGAAGTTTCACCTCTCTGAATGAAATTGATAATGGTCTCTCTTCTGGTAGAAACTATTTGGATGAGAATCTGGAAAATAGGGACGATGCAAAAAAACGAGTAAAGAAGGGTTTGCTGATCCCTCTGACAAAATCGGACCATTGTTTATTCACGGATCATAATGATCCTCGTATTTTCTCAATGGAAGTGAATAACGTGCAATGTGCAGTTTTTCTTGATCCAGGATTCACAGTCAACTTAATTAGTCCTAAACTAGTAGATAAATGCAAACTAAAATCCCATCCAATACATAGTCTTAAAATCATTTAATGGGGCATGCACAGTATATAAAGGTGTTTTGGCCACTATAAAGTTTAGAGATCAAACCCAACACTATGAACTTTTGCTAGGGATTCACACATTGGGAAAACTTAATATCTGTTGGAATTTTGATAAGCAGGAAGTCTTACTAGCTAAAACAGATGCAGATGCCATCTCCAGATTGTGTCCCCTTGTGAAATCTATGCCTGTCCACCAAATCGACAAACACAAGTGGCAGAAGACCAAGAATGGCCAGTTGATTGTCCCAAAAAATATTCAAAACCGCATTATGAAGCGGTATCATGATGATCCGGACAGTGGGGGTCATGATGGGTTTTGGAGGACTTATTATAAATTAAGGGCACGGTTCTGGTGGCCTAACATGAGACAAAGTATCCAACGTTACGTGCAGACCTGTCTGATATGTCAATCCGTCAAGTTTAAATACCGACCCTGTCAAGACCAACTCTATTTGCCCCCACAATCGAAAATACCATTCAATACGGTACACATTGATTTTGCAGAGGTTCAGAAACGAAGCAAAGGGGTAAGAATGACTAAATCATTTCTAGTGGTCATAGACAAAGCTACATGGATAACGTATGCTAAAGCTATGAAGGAGGATGTGCGTAGTGTCATCCATTATTTGGATAAATTACCATTATTCAATAAGGTAACTACTATCATCAGCGATTGCGGATCTATCTTTAAGTCGGACAGTTTCAAGCAATGGGCCAGAGACAGGAATATCTCATTAAAAATCACATTCCCTTATCGTGCTGCAGGAAATGGAGTGTGTGAGAGAAAGATACGGGATCTCAAGAAATTTTTTAATTGCTATCCAGATTTCAAAGGCGGGTGGAAAAGTTGCTTGGATGCTGCAGTTTGCTACAAAAATCGCAGCTAAAACTCTTATTTAGGTTGCTCTCCATTATTCAAATGGCAACGTACAGTTGTTAAGCTAGAGGCCGGCAGCGAATTCGGTATTATAGATCTACAATCATATGAAAAGGAGCGTACCGAAGAACAACGAAGGAATATCGAGACTCCATCAAAAAATATTATCATAGGAAGCATGTAGGATTTTTGGTAAACATTAATGTTGGATCCAGGATTTTAGTTCAAAGTGGTATGAGAGGAAAACATCCAAACATTAAAGGACCTTATCTGGTCGATAAAGTAATATACTATGACAACATTCCTAAAAATGTGATATATAGAACGGAAAGTGGAACTAAGAAAATAGCTCACCTCACCAATATAAAGTTGTATCATAACGGGTGAAGACAGGGCTAAGAAGGGTGGTGTAAGCAGAGTTTAAAATCTGCTACTCATTAGCACCCCTCCCCTTAACTCCACATCTGGAATGGTCGAGAATTCAGAGAAATGAGGGGGTCACGAAGGGGAAGTGATCGCTTGGTCAGGGGATGGACAAGTGTAAGGTCCCCAGCTTGTATACTGGACATCTGAGAAACGGACATTAAATTCATCTGTCCTTAGAATCACTTTACCTTTTTGTTAAATTGTTGCAGTCTTAATATTTGTAATGTTACATGTACAATGTTATAATAATATAGAAAAATTACCAGATTGAAAAATTTGTTACCAAATTGTTAACTGGCTTAAAATATTGTAAAATCTGGGTGTAAAACACCAGATTTTGCTGACAACATTGCTTGCAAATTGTCTGTTTATTGCCCAAAAACTAAACTTGCACTGTGTCACACCATTGCAGATCTTTGAAAATTTTCACACCGGTGTGACTAATAATAGAATATATAAAAATTCTGAATTTGTATATATCTTAGAATCTGTAGGAAGTCAGTTGGAAGCAATGTAAATTAAAATGAGAATTATTTATTGTGACATTGTCAGCATAACAAAAATAATTTATTTTGTGAGTACTTTCGACAGTATATAATTATTACTTCTAAACCTTTAGATTTCTGGTAAGATACGCATACACCAAATGAACAAACGTTTTTGATTCCTTACCAAGATTTGCTTCAGGTTCACTATTGTTTCAAATATGGAATGCCATGATTTTGAACGTTTTGAATACTAAATAAATTAAACCTGTCCCTATCCTCAAAATTAAGCTATTTTCCATTCTATAATAACTAAAAATTAAATTTTTTAATAAAATAACATAACAGATGTTGCCCCCACACAATTTTTAATGTTGCTGGGAAAGTTAAGCTGCTCTTTGCTGGATTTTTTTCTCTGTCATTATCATTTTATTTGTTTTTATTCTATTCCTTTATTCATCCTTCAACCATAACTAGTATAAATAGTGTTTTGGAGATTAACTTTTAAATTGTTAAGTAAGATGGCTGATTTGAAAAGACAAAGGAAATTTTATTATGTATTGATAGTATAACAAAAAGTGCTTTTACAAAGTTAGAGTAATGAAAATTGGCATCAGGTCAGGAAGATTTTTTTTCTTCAACCTAGTTGACACACTGAAGAAATATCATTGTTAAATGTAAGTTTGTTTTATTACTAAGAACTGAAGCTCAATGTCTATAACTTCATTGTGCTGATTTTTCTCTCCTGTATTAATTGATCTTTCTTGAAACTTTATAGTGTAAAGTAAATCAAATATGCAACAAACATTAATAAAAAGTATTTCAAATGGTTTTTGACAAAATACAACTGTTATCTTTATGCTATGAGTATTTGGAATACATTGTGTTCTAAATAGTTATAGCAAAACAGTCAATTGATATTAAAATTGTGGTATCTGCTTTAATGTATATTTCTTTATTTTAATTGAATATTGTTCTGATATTTTAACAGTAGATGTATAATTTAAAACTGAATCAAAAATTAGATTGAGTTTTCATGATAATTTTAATAAATGATATATAATTATTTTGTAGATTTTATTAGATTAAGTTAGCAATTAAAATATATATATTCAAATTAATTTGTTAATTAAAAATAAATTTTAAAATAATTACTGCAAAAGAGAGAGACAATTTTTATCCTTACACGTTGACACAAAAACCTTTAAAAAATGCTACAGAAAATGAAAAATATGAAATTAAAAGAAGGAAGTTACATGATGGTAGTAGATTTCAAGGCCTTATACCTCTCAATCAAACTAGAGCCATGTTTTTGCCACCTGAGAGACTTCTTAATGAGCAAGATCAGAAATGTGGTAAATACGAAAAAAACAGGTATTGGAACTAACACATCTTGCTACATTTGATTCTGATGAAACCGTGTTGTTGTTATTAAGCTGTTTCTTTGCAGACACACTAAGGTGACATATATCAACACTTGGCAACTTATTGACTATTTATTCAGTTGGGACGCCTTTTACATTTCGCGTTTCGGGCATTGGCCCCTCTTCAGCCAACTAGACATAAAAAATAAAACATGAGAAAATTTGTACAAAAATACGCGAGTAGATAAACTGTTTTTTTAAAAAAATTTTTTTAAAAACATACCATAAAACACAAACCACTATTGTACAGTTGTCGTACAGGATGGACAATTTCATATTTCATATACAACTTGGAGAACAAACAAGGTCGACGATAAAGTACCACCGATTAAACTCTGTATTCCATGATCATTGTGTACTAAACAACTGCAATATAGATAAAGCTAATACACAGATTCTACACAAAGAGAAGAAAACATACAACAGAAAATTCAAAGAGAGTGTCGAGATTATTAAAAACAAAAATAATAATTGTATAAATAAAAATTTAAGCATCAAAATTAACGAAAACTGGATGAAAATATTGTAACTAAGTTGAAGCTGATTGGTCGTAATTACGAAGAAAATCATCTAAGTTTAACGTTTATGAATAGATAAATATAGGTAAAGTAATAAGTCATGTTAAGTTTAATATAATAATTCATGTTTATATACCAACTTCTATTATATACAGAAATCGGTTCAAAAAATCAGCTCAAGTAAATATGTAAATTAGTTTGCCAAATAGCGTAGTTACGGAAATTGTACACAGGAGCGGTTTAACCAAAAGCTACAACTTAAATCGTATGTCTTTATGAATTGTAAGTAATACAAATAATAATTACTAGTTTGTACAATTAATGTAATTGCTTTAAGTATGTTCTATGTAAATTGGCAGTTTGGATAATATTGCTAAGATGACTTTGTGAAAATTTGTTCGGAAAGAAAGGGCGACAACTAATATCGAATGAATTTCGGTGTAATATGCGAATATCAACCACAGGTAAAAACAAATATTGTTAAGATATGTTGTAATTGTCAATCTATTTATTTGAATTTTGTGTAAATTATAAGAAAGCCATATTTANAATTATTTTTTATATATTTATATATATTATTTATATATATATATATCAATAGTTTAATTTTTTGAAGAGCATGAAAGAAAGTTGCATGTAAAGAAGTATCTTGCATTTTATCTTTTGCAGATGAACTACATCTCAACAGGATTTTATTTCTTCATTCTTCATCTCTTCTGTGATTTCCCTCTCTTTTTTTATCCTGACCTCAACTGTTTATGACTTTGACTGCTGTTCCTTCTAATCTCAATTTAATTTCATCTGTAATTATGGCTACACCCCCTGGGGCTAGAGGTCTGTTCTTGAAACTTGGATATATCTCAACTTCTAACCCATTTGAACTTGCATCATTATTTATTTTTATTTTGTCTTTGAAATTATTTACTTTAACAATTGTTATGAAAAATGCATGCATTTTGCACATTGTAAATTTATATTTAATTATAGGAAAAGAGTTTATGCAAATAACTTTATACTTGTGAATATTTGAAGACTTGTATCAAATATTGTTGCTTGCAACAAAATAGGTTTCCAGAAAAACTAAATTGCACTGCAACAGTTGAAACAATGACAGATTTCAGTTAAAGAAGATTTCAGTTAAAGAATGGAATTATATTGATGCAAAAAATTGGGTCATTTTCATCGTGAACACATTAGAAAATGTGAGTAAAGCACTCTGTGTAATGGAAAAAAGTTGCAAGTGCTTTATCACATGCAACATTAAAAGTTTAATATATCTTGGTTTCAAGATGAGGTTTTGACTTTAAAGTACACATTTCTCTTAAAATAGATGTTCTTATTTCTTATTTATGACAGCATTTTATAAGCTGCATGTTTTAGGGCACTTAACAAAAATTTGTGTTAATGGAAAAACATTTCATATGATATAATTTCTCTCACTAGCCAAGCATGAAAATACCATTAATAAAAGCACAGATTGTCGAATGGAAAGTTATGCTTTATTTAGATTTAGTCAGTATTATTACTTTCATCATCAGACTTTAAAGATCTGTAAAAGTCAGAAACTTGCACATGGAAAGTAGGTCATTCTTCTTTGCACTTTTCATTAGGATTGCCTACTGTTGCATTTGACAGATGAATGTTCTAGAAGCCATTAAAGGAATTTGAAACTTTACAGTCAACCCCCCTTTAACACTGTTGATTATTCCATTTTATATGAATTCCATGTTGTACGAGTCACTTAGATTTTACAAATACGTGAGCCGTTCACAGCCCGGCATATGTATTTGTAAAATTTAAGTGACTCGTACAACATGGAATTCATATAAAACAGGTTAATCAACAGTGTTATGGGGAGTCAACTGTATTATGTGCATGACTTCTCATTGACAGCAGTAAGTAAAATGCATCTTGTGGCTGTAAATCATGATGGGAGCATTGTATTCTAATGACAGTTGAGTCATTGGATGTAATCTGAACTTACATCATTGAGAAAATTTTAAGATGTTTTGATATCAGAAAAATTTTTATAAAAATACTGAGGTTCTTTATATCATTTGCATGTGTTGCATGTGTCATGCTGCAAACTTCACAGCATGGTGCATGCAATGTTTTTCCGCTCATCTCACTCTGGGACCTTATTCATTTCCTGACTCCCTCTGCATTTTCAATCTCTTATGATTTCAATTTCAGGGTAGATGATACCTTTTCTTTCCTAATTTTTGCACTCACAGCTCTGAAGAGGTGAGAGTGAATACCTTCTCATCTTCCATTTTCTATATACAGTGGTACCTTGTATAATGTATTTAATCCGTTTCAGGTGCACGTCCATTAAGTGAAAAGTCCGTTATACAAAACACATTTTCACATAGAAATACATGTTAAAACATCTAATTTGTTCTGCAGCATAAAATAACTGTACTGTACCATAAAAAAAAAAAATGGAGCAGTTACCAATTATACCAGGTAGTCAGATGTTGAGAAGAGGAGGTGGAGGAACACTTTCATACAGACACACTTTTTACACATTGCAGCAGGTCTCTTTTTATTGTTTTTTAATTGGAGTCAGATTCTGGAGAGGCTACTGGGGCTTGCATGGTCAACTCCTCTTGTTCCATCCTTTGTTTTTTGGAAACTGGCTTCTTGAAAAACATGTCCAAGGTGGTCTGTTTCTCTCTCTTCTTCAACACCTGTCGGAAATGACGGGCAAGGGTGTCATTGTAGAGATCATTGATACTGGTGGCCTCAGCTGTGTTTGGATAGTGAGTGTTGGTAAACTCCTGAACCTCTCCCCATTTGACAAGGAAGTCCTTGTTAACTTTCACTCCTTCTGATGGTTTCTTGCTTTGTTTCAATTGAAATCACCTTTCTGTTTTTTTTAGAAGCCATGATTTGCACAACACTTGAATAAATGTAAATACCCTGCACTGAGGTGATGTATGTAATAAACAAGGGAGCAAGCTGAATTCCAATGGGAGCTCTGTACTTCAGATATACTAATAATATATTCTAAAAATAGCAGATTGTTATTGGCAACGGCAAAAGAGTGGAAACATCATTCGTGCTTGTTCACAGAAAGTCCATTGTTTGCCTCACGTAACTGTCAAATGGAAATTCCTTTGTTTGCAGCCAGTCCATTGCTCAAGTCACATAACGGCCAAACAGAAAGTTTGTTGTTCACAGCGTCCATTATTCAAGGCATACGTTATACAAGGCACCACTGTACATGCAATGTCTTTCCATGCAGTTGATAAGTTAAATGCATGTTTTTATCATAGCCAGTTAGATTTTTTTTAATAGTAAATGTACTATTTGCTGCATTGTTTTGCAGTGCACAATTATTATAACAATCTCCATTTGGTTATTTTGGCAATTGCAACATTATTCGACACAAGCCTTCATTTGTTGAATGAAAATATTGAAAAATTTTAAAAATATTTAAATTAATACAATGGAGGACATGACAATTGATTTTCTTCAGTTTGAATCAGATAAAATTATAGTAAGCAGTTTTAAGAGAGATCTAATAAAAATATCTGTGACATCATTTTCATAAAGTATGGTAATAAAGATGTGTAAATTAGATTACTCAATAATTGTACTGCAGTCGACCCCCCTATAATGCAGGTTCATATAATGTGGATTCGTATATCACTGCAAAAAAATTGCGACCGTATTTGTATAAAGACACTAAAAGAGACTCATAAAATGTCATTGCTGACTTGTGTCGCGACAGGATTGGTTAAATCTGGACCAATAGTGGACAAGCAGCCGAACTACTTACACGCTACAGAGAGTTTAGGCGGGTAAGTTGAGTTTACTATCATCTGTACACTTTATAAATTAGGTACTGTAAGTCTAATACAGTACTGTAATTTTATACATTTCTTGTGAAAGAAACATTTCTTATTCAACGGTCATAAAAATTATTTCTATTAATGATGTCTCCAAAGTTCAGCAAATTTTTCGCAGAAAAATAACTTATCAGAAACGCGCCTGCCATTCGATGCGCTGCTCCACAACGAAAACAAGCTTAAGCAATGGCGTCATTGAACGGTGCACACTCAGTAAGTAATTCTACAATTTTTTGTTTATAGCATAGTTTATACGGATTATTCCCAAAAAATTATACGTGTTTTGGAAATATTGAGTCAAATTAGTCTAGAACCAGTTAATTTTATGGAAGAAAACTTTTCAAACAGCCGTAGTCCGTAAACTGCACATGTGCCGGGCTGTGATTGGCTCATGTATTTAAGGATTCCTACAACGTGAAATTCTTATAAAGTGGAACGTATCTACTGTGTTATAGGGGAGTCGACTGTATTTATTAATATGAAGAAGACACTACAAAGAAATATTTTTCAAAAATGGGATTTTCCAAGATTAAAGAGATTTATAGTTTCAGTATTACTTTATTTATTCATTTCAAATTTATTTTTAAATTAATAACAGAATCACAGTAGAGTGTGATTCTCTACTCTACACATACAGTTCCAGTTTTCTGGTAAAGTTGTTGTTTATTAAATTAATAACAATTAAGATATATCCAGATGTTTTTAAAGTCCTTCATAAGGAGTAAGGATTCTTGCTAATTGTTTTTGTTTGATATATTTTCTATTAAACAAAACTAAATATAAACATTAATAAAATGCTATACAATGATACCTCGGTTTTCGTCGATAATCTGTCTGAAAACAATCGGCAAAATCCGAAACCACCGAAAACCAAAGCAATTATTTCTGTACGAATCAATATAAATCCAATTAATTCATTCTAGACACTACAAAATACGTACCAGAAACATTTTATAGAGAATAAATATAGTGTTTAATACTAAAAACAATAAGAAATGAATATAAAAGACTAATGTAAAGAATAAATGAACATTTAACATAGCATTTGAAGGGCTGCTGACTCTGGAAACTTTGTTTGGGCTCATGATGGAGCTAAAAAGAAAGGAAAGCAATGGAATTGTTTCACTATATGTATGGGGTAATGCTCACACAATAAGAAACAATGCCATACTTAGCAGGAAAACATGTGGGTCACCCTTTGTTTTCACAAAATTAGCAGCGAGGTCACATGGGCATGCCAACAAAAACCAAGACAAACTTTTTGCAAAAAAGCAACAATGATTAAAGTCAATGAAAACCAAGGTATTGTATCTACTTATTGTGGAAAAATAGTAATAAAAGTATGTGGTTATTTTTTATAAAGAAGCAAACTCAATATTAAGATTCAATTTATCAAACTAATTATACTGAAGAGAGATAATAGCTACAGATTTAAGTAATTTAAGCTGTATCCTTTAAAATAATGATAGAAGTTTGATGATTATTTTACATCATAATATAGATAATCAGGTACCATCTTACAAACAAAAGTGGTATGCAAATATTTGGTAACTGTGACATTTAGATTTTAATTGAAAATTATGACATCAAATTTGAATATAAAAATTATTTTAAAACTGTAATTATACAGATGTTTCTATCTGTATAGTCTTAATAGTTCATATCTCATTCATTTGGGATTTTTAGTCTGAAGAGATCTGTTTAATCAGTTCATTTAAAATCATATTTTATGACTAACTAATGGCTTAAAACATGCATAAGTTCATAAAACAATAAAATTATAAACTTTTTTAAACCTGTATTTTACTTACTATAAAGCTATTTTTAGTGGGAAATCTTTGTCTCAAACTCAGTTTCAAATTTTAATAGTATTTAACAGTAAGAAACTTTTAAATTATTTTATACAATAATTCTATTATATTTTTCTGGATGAATAAATAACTCTTTCTAGCAAATTTACTTTCTGAATCTTAAATAATT